GCGAGGAAAACCAACTATAAAGTCCATATTAAAGTCTTCCGACTTCAAAGTTTGAATGCTAATGTCTTGGGATAAGCCTCCTAGTTTTTTATGCTCAACCTTTACTTGTTGGCAATTTGGACACTTAGCCACAAATCCTGCAATATCCGTCTTCATCCCATTCCACCAAAAGACCTCCATTAAATCACGATACATCTTGGTGGCTCCTAGTGAATGGAATACCACAAAATATGTGCTTCTGTCAAAATATGTTCCCTCAAGTCTTCCATAGTTGGAACACATAAATGACCTTGGTATCTAAGCACACCATCTCCCCTTGGGAGAAAGCCTTACGGATTTCTTAAGCACCGCTTCTTTCAATTCTACTAAAATTTGATCAAGACCTTGCTTAGATTTCACATCTTCCACAAAAGACGATTCGGAACCATTGTGAACCATAACACCACCCTTGGTGGATTCTACTAGTTGAATACCTAATCGAGCCAATCTATGAACATCTCAAACCAACTCTTTATTTCCTTCTTCAATATGACAAATACTACCCATAGATAACCGACTAAGAGCATCCGCTACCACATTGGCTTTACTGGGGTGATAAAGAACACTTACGTCGTAATCTTTCAATAACTCAAGCCACCTTCTTTGGCGAAATTCAATTCTTTTTTACTAAACACATGTTGCAAACTCTTGTGGTTGGTAAACACATCTACATGTACTCCATACAAATAGTGTCTCCAAATCTTTAAGAAAAAAATGACCGCCGCTAATTCAAAGTCGTGAGTAGGGTAATTCTCTTCATAGATTTTAAGTTGCCTTGAGGCATAGGAAATAGCTTTCCCATTTTGCATAAGCACACACCCTAGCCCAATTATCGAGGTATCACAATAAACCATAAAACCATTTGTCCCTTCAGATAAGGTCAATACCGGAGCGGAGGGAACGTTATCCTTCAACTCTTGAAAACTCTTTTCACATACGTCGGACCATATGAACTTTGCCTTCTTTTGAGTCAAAGTTGTCAAAGGAGAGGCAATTAAAGAGAAACCCTCAACAAACCTTCTGTAGTAACTGGCTAAACCCAAGAAACTTTTAATAAATGAAGGAGTTAGAGGTCTAGGCAAACTCTTGACCGCATCCGTCTTCTTAGGATCTACTTGAATACCCTTACTTGAAACAATATGACCAAGGAAATCTACGGACCTTAGCCAAAATTCACATTTGTTAAACTTTGCAAAAAGTTGTTGGTCCTTAAGAATTTACAACACGATCCTCAAATGATTAATATGCCCATCCTCAATCATTGAGTAGATCAAGATATCATCAATGAACACAATCACAAACATGTCAAGGTATTGTCTAAACACTATATTCATCAAATCCACAAACGCCGCCAGAGCATTAGTCAACCCAAATGATATTACCAAAAACTCATAATGACCATACCTTGTTTGAAAAGCCGTCTTCAGAATGTCATCATCTTTCACCCTCAGTTGGTGATAACCCGATCGGAGATCAATCTTAGAGAAATAACTTGCTCCTTGAAGTTGGTCAAACAAATTATCTATCCTTGGAAGTGGATACTTAATCTTAAAAGTCAAAAATTGGAGCACCCTATGGAGATATACTCGGTAGGATGAAAACCTTATCCAACAAATCTTTCAAATGTTCTTTCAACTCCTTAATTTTTGCCGAAGCCATACGGTAAGGAGGAATAGAGATAGGCTGCGTATCTGGGAGAAGGTCAATACCAAAGTCTATTTCCTGCTCGGGAGGAATACCAGTTAAGTCATCTGGAAACACTTTCAGAAACTCATTAACACTGGGGACCGACTCGAGATAAGGGGTTTCAGAATCTATATCTGTAAAATTCCAGATAATTTTAAACTAAACTAGAGTCAAGCACAAAACTAATAGGCTTAGCTAAAGCTTGACGTTACGGTTAAAGCCGAGAAAATACATCCTTGTACCTTAAAATTCATTTTTTCAAGTTAGAACGTCAAGGCCTAAACCCCTAGGACCAACCTTGAGGAAAAGGCCCCAAAAAATGACCTGGGAAGTGACCCATTAGGGAACCTACTCCCCGTAGGTCCACCTATGCACCGTAGGTGGTGGTCGTGGGTCATGCCCCAAAAATCAAGCCCCAGACCATGGACGTACGATCCTGCAGAACGGCCAATAGGTTCACTCACGGACCATAGGTCCTAGGTTCGTAGGTGGCACCAGTGGGTCTTTAGGTAAATTCCTAATTAAGTTAGTTTAATGCATGGTCGTTTTATATGATTTTCAATAGACATATATATGTCTTTTAAGTCATAAAAAAAATACAAACACTTCATAAAAAATTCAACTACCCAAATCAAAATCAAACCTCTCTAAAAACTCCATTGAAGAAGAAGAAGAAGAAGAAGATCAAGTTAGGGCTTCAATAAGGGGGCTTTCTCACACAAATTGGTTGGATTTCTACACCTAAGGTATGGTAGTCTTTGATTCATGGAATTATTTCTTCCATGGAGTCTTTAAACTTCCAATTTAAAAGTAGACAATTTTCCAAAACCTAGGGTTTTCATTCCAAGTCATGGATTCTTTCTAAAAATGATTTCAATGATTTATTTAACATATATTATGGTTGAATTGTTGTTTTATGTTGATTTTATGATATAATCTCCCATGAATCCATGAAATCCCCATAATCCTAATTTATGACTTTGTGATGGGGGTGAATTGTAGTAAGACCAATTGTATGGAATTGTATTTGTTGTAATTTAGTTCTTTTGATCATTTTATTATCCATGTTGAATTTAGTAACCCTAAATTTATTGCGAGAGTGTGATCCTTGATCCAAGAAGGGTAAAACAAGAGAATTATGGCAAATTGTGGGCTTCATATATGCATATTTTTTTAACATGATTATAATCTAGTTATTGTATTAATTGAAAGTTAATTCTCATAAACACATAATGATCATGACATTAAATTTCTCACTATATGATGATTCTAAGTTTGAAAGTCTATTCTCACCTATTGAATCTATGAGCTATTTTGTGAATTGTGTTGGATGGAGGGTTTAGACACTCCTTCATGCTTGTAAATGCAATTCAAAGACTAAACATGTAATTGTGCAAAGTAATGCTTAGCACCGAGTGGATATTGAATATGAGATAGAGGATCTCCCGTTAAGAAAGACGGGGTTTCTAAAGTTAATCTCATGAGATGGAAGCTCCCCCGTTAAGTAAGGTTTGGTTTCTAGTAACAATTTATGTATCCCTTACCTATGTGCCCTCATAAGCCTTTGGCTAGTTAATCCACCTAAAAGTTAATACATTTAGTTCTACCTTAGGCAAGTAGGACACCTCTGTTCGGTGTGGGGTATGACACCGGTTTCCATGTTAAGCTCACATGGTCTATGTCGGTTAAGGCTTATTCCCAATGTAATTAAAAGATGAATTATTAACTATGGTTGTTCAAGGAGTTTTTCTTAGCATGGGTATGATTATGGGATCTTACTTATATATGGCACAAGTAGATTTTGAGGGTATTCTTGGTGGGTTTCTATTATGATGTGGTGACTTATATACTGAATATTCTCACGAATTATACTTTCACTCTCCTTTTCATGATGATTCTTAAACTTGATAAAGTGCATGCTCTTCAACTAAATTGTCCCTTTTTAGCATATTTTTATGGTTTTGTGCATGTCTACCTTACTTGTGAAATCTTTGTACTAACCCATATTTCTTCTACATTTTCCACAAAGTGTAGGTTCCAGCATTTGAGGTGACCTTTCTTCTTGTGCAAAGCTTGGATTGACTATTCTCCAAAGCTTGTGGTGAGTCCTAATGGATCCGAGGATGAGTGATGTTTTGTTGTTCATTTCATTTCTTTGTATTTCATGTCGGATTTCTATTGTAAGGATTGTGACCTTATTTTGAGACTTCGATTGTAATAGATGGCTAAAAGAAACAATGTCTAGACTTCCGCTTTGCTTTTATGAAAACTTCTTAGGACTTGTGAAAATGTCTTTTACTCTTTATTGTTCTTTATGTGATGATGATGTTAAGTGGCTTACATGGTGCCTTTAGGGGCATTGTGTGCCTTGTTACATCTAGGGAGTACCTTTGTGTAGGTGACAAACTTGGTAATCAGAGCGAAAGGTTTAGAATGATTCTAGGATGATGTCTCATAAGCCATGTCTAGTAGAATCTTATTCATAGTGTGAAGCAGACCTCATTTATGAATGAGAGGCTATAAGATGTTTAGGAAATTTCACTTCTTTCATTATTCTTAAGTCGTGCCTTAGAGTTTAACTCTATAAAAGTCCCTCTCCTAATCCTTCTCTTGTGTCTTCAGAAAATGAATACACGAAGGGCTAATGCAAGAAGAGTGAAAGGTGACAATGTGAATGAGGAAGCTCTTCAAGGTAATCAAACTTCTCAAGTAAATCAAGCTCTGAATGATTCTCCGATTATGACGGATGTGGAGATTAGGTCGACTTTGGTAGCATTGACCCAAGCCATGACGGTTCAAGCTCAAGCCGTGACAACTCAAGCCCACGACATAATGGCGCAAGCCAATAGAGATATTGGTCCTCGAGTGAACACTAATGTGAATCCTATGGCTTCGAGATTGAGGGATTTTTCTAGGATGAACCCCCCCCCCCTCGAGTTTCTTGGCTCCAAGGTGGAAGAGGATCCCCAAAGGTTAATTGATGAAGTTTGCAAGATACTTGGTGTTATGGGGGTGTCTTCGGAGGAGAAGGTGGAGCTATCCTCTTACTAACTAAAGGATGTGGCTCAAAATTGGTATGAACAGTGGAAGGGTGAGGGCCAATAGGAGTGGGTCCCATAGATTAAGAGGTATTCAAGCAAGCGTTTCTTGATAGGTTATTTCCCCTAGAGTTAAGAGAATGAAAAATGCAAGAGTTCATAAACCTTCGACAAGGGGGGATGAGTGTGAAAGAGTATTCTCTCAAGTTCACCCAACTATCCAAGTATGCTCCAACCATGGTGGTAGACTCAAGGGTCAGAATGAATAACTTTGTGATGGGAGTGTCTGATTCGGTAGTCAATGTATGTCGTTCGACAATGCTTATCCCAAGTATGAATATTTCAAGTCTTATGGTCCATGCCGAACAAATTGAGGAGCAAAAGCTCAAGAAAATGAATAGGGAGGTGAAGAGGGCTAGGACCGGTGATAAGAACTTTTCCAATGTTAAGTCTGATGGGCAAGGTCGGCAAAGGTTCAAACAAAGTTCCTCTAGTGCTTGCCCAATGGTCAACAAGGATAGCGTACTTAACCCTAAGCCTCAAAAAGGGTATGACAAGGTAACTCCCATGGCAAAGCCTACTTGTGCCAAATATGGTAAGAAACATGATGGTAAATGTTTAGCCGGTTTGGGTGTTTATTATGGTTGTTGTTAGATTCGCCATCAATTGAAGAATTACCCAACACTTACAGCCAAGGGAAGAGAAGATAAGCAAAATCCACCAAGCGGTTCACACTCCAATGCTAAAAAGCAAAACCACTTTTATGCTCTTCGAGAAGACCATGAGAGCTCACCGGATGTGGTGACTGGTATGTTACAAGTCTTTTCTATTGATGCATATACTTTGTTAGACCCCGGTGCCACTTTGTCCTTTGCGACACCTTTTATGGCCATGAAATTTGAAATACTCCCCGAAGTGTTATTGGAGCTTTTTTCAGTTTCTACTCCAGTTGGTGAGTCCATAGGGATAGGAAAGTTTATAGAAGTTGTCCTATTTCTTTTTCTCATAAAGTCACTTTGGTGGACTTAGTGGAGTTAAACATGTTAGATTTTGATGTGATTTTGGGTATGGATTGGTTGCATGCAAGCTATGCCTCTATAGAATGTAGGACTCAGGTTGTCAAATTCCAATTTCCAAATGAGCCAATTTTAGAGTGGAAAGGGGGGAATTCCATCCCTAGAGGTCAATTTATTTCTTATCTCAAAGCTAGGACAACGATCTTAAAAGGGTGCATTTACCATCTTGTTAGGGTGAGGGATATTGAATCTGAAACCCCTTCTCTAGAGTCGGTCCCCGTGGTGAATGAATTTTTGGAAGTCTTCCCCAATGACTTGCCCGACATTCCTCCCGAGTGGGAAATATATTTTGGCATTGATCTTTTGCCGGATACGCAACCTATCTCCATTCCTCCTTATAGAAAGGCTTTGGCCGAGTTGAAAAAGTAATTCAAGGATTTGCTAGATAAGGGCTTTATTCATCCGAGTATCTCTCCATGGGGTGCTCCGGTGTTGTTTGTTAGAAAGAAATATGGGTCTCTTAGAATGTTCATCGACTACCGCCAATTGAACGAAGTTACCATAAAGAATACATAAGCCCTTCCGAGAATTGATGACTTGTTTGATCAACTCCAAGGGGCTAGTTACTTTTCAAAAATTGACCTTCGTTTGGGCTATCACTAACTTAGGGTGATAGAGATGATATACCCAAGATGGCTTTCTGAACTAGGTATGGGCACTATGAATTCTTTGTGATGTCAGTTGGCCTAACTAATGCCCCGGTGGAATTTATGGACCTGATGAATACGATGTTTAGGCACTACCTTGAAATGTTTGTGATTGTGTTTATCGACGATATTTTGATATATTCAAGGAGTGAGGGTAAACATATAGACCATTTGAGGATTGTATTGCAAGTCCTTAAGGACCACCAATTATATGCAAAGTTTAATAAATATGAGTTTTGGTTGAGGTTTGTAGCCTTTCTTGGTCATATTGTGTCAAGCAAAGGTATTGAGGTAGATCCTAAGAAGACGAATACGGTCAAGAGTTAGCCTCGACCTCTAACTCCTACCAATATTAGAAGTATTTTAGGTTTGGCCGGTTACTATAGGAGGTTTTTTGAGGGTTTTTCCTCCATTGCTTCTCCGTTAACGGCTTTGACTCAAAAGAAAACCAAGTTTGTGTGGTCGGAAGCTTGTGAGAAAAGCTTCCAAGAATTAAAGGATAGACTTACTACCGCTCTGGTGTTGACCTTACCTGAGGGTATCGATGTCTTTGTTGTTTATTGTGATGCCTCTAAAGTGGGGTTGGGATATGTGCTCATCCAACAAGGTAATGTGATTGCCTACACTTCAAGGCAACTCAAGGTACATGATAAGAATTATCCGATCCATGATCTTGAATTAGCGGCAGTTGTGTTTGCTTTAAAAATATGGAGACATTAATTGTATGGGGTCCATGTGGATGTTTTCACCGATCACAAAAGTCTTCAATAGGTGTTTACCCAAAGAGACTTGAATCTCTGACAAATAAGGTGGTAAGAACCTTTGAAGGACTTGAGTGTCCTTTACCATCTCGGAAAAGCTAATGTTGTAGAGGTGCACTTAGTAGATTATTCATGGGTAGTGTGGCTCATGTAGAAGATGAAAAGAAAGAGTTAGTCCGAGAGGTTCATAGATTGGCCCAGCTAGGTGTCCAACTAGTAGATTCTCCTAAGGGTGATTTCACGGTTCACAGTGGCTCTGAATCATCCTTTGTGGTAGATGTGAAGTCTAAACAAGGACTTGATCCTATATTAATATAATTGAAAGAATCGGTACTCAAGAAGTCCATTGAGGCTTTCTCCCAAAGGGGAGATGGGATACTTAGGTACCAAGGTTGATTATGTATTCCGGATGTTGATGGGTTGAGGGAGCAAATTTTAGAGGAGGCTCATAGTTCTTGGTATTCTATTCATCTGGGAGCCACCAAGATGTATTCTATTCATCCGGGAGCCACCATGATTTGCAGGAAGTCTACTGGTGGAATGGTATGAAAAAAGATATTGCGGGATTTGTAGCCAAATGTCCTAATTGTCAACAAGTTAAGGTTGAGCACCAAAGGCCAGGAGGTTTGTTGCAAAATATACCAATTCCGACTTTGAAGTGGGAAGAGCTGAATATGGATTTTGTTGTGGGTTTGCCTCGTACTCGAATGCAACATGATTCTATTTGGGTCATTTTTTATATGATGACAAAATCAGCCCATTTCATTCCCGTCAAGGTCTCCCTTTTGGCGGAAGACCATGCTAATTTGTATATAAGGGTGATAGTGAGGTTACATGGAGTTCCTTTGTCCATCATTTTGGATCGGGGTACTCAATTTACTTCACATTTTTGGAAGTTATTCCAAAAGGGGCTTGGTACTAAGGTGAAACTTAGCACCGCTTTTCACCCTCAAACGGATGGTCATGCGGAGCGCACCATTCAAAATTTAGAGGATATGTTGAGGGCGTGTGTTATAGATTTCAAAGGTAATTGGGACGACCACTTGCCATTGATAGAGTTTTCCTACAATAATAATCACCACTCAAGTATCGGTATGGTTCCTTTTGAAGCCTTGTATGTTAGGAGATGTAGGTATTCGGTTAGTTGGTTTGAGGTAGGTTATGTCGCTCTTATTGGTCCCGAATAAGTTTATGAAGCTATTGAGAAAGTTCGGCTCATTAGAGGGAGATTGAGAATGGCTCAAAGTAGGAAAAAGTCCTATTCCGATGTGAGAAGGACGGACATAGAATTTGAAGTAGGTGATTGGGTATATTTTAAAATCTCACCCATGAAGGGTGTGATGAGGTTTGGCAAAAATGGGAAACTTAGTTCCCGGTATGTAGGCCCATATCAAATTGTGAAGCGTATTGGGGAAGAGGCCTATGAATTGGACTTGCCAAATGAGTTGGCTTCGGTTCACCCAGTATTTCATGTTTCTATGCTTAAAAGTGTATTAGGGACCCGGTATCCATTATTCCTTTAAAAGGGTTGGGAGTTGATGAAAGCCTTTCCTATGAAGAAGTTCCTGTAGAGATCCTTGATCGGCAAGTCAAGAGATTGAGAAACAAGGAAGTAGCTTCCGTTAAGGTTTTATGGAGAAATCATCTAGTTGAGGGTGATACTTGGGAGGCCAAAGTCGATATGAAGTCTCGATACCCTCATCTCTTTCCTTCCACTCCTACTCAAGCTTGAGGTAAATAGTTCCTCTAGAATTTCCTTGTTTTGGAAGTCATGTGTAGGTTGTATGTTTTCCATGGTTTCCTTAAATGATGCATGTTCTTGATGAAATTCATGTTTAATGAGAAAATGAGTTTTCATGATATATGTTCCTCATGTTGTTGTGCATTTAGTAAGAGTTGCCTAATTGACTTCATGAGATGTGTTAATGAACATGCTTTAGTAAGATTTTGATAGTAATTGCATATTGGATCCGTGGTGTTTTGTTGAGCATTATTTCAGTTGGAGAAGTGAGTTCCTCCTATGAAAATGAGAATTATTGAGTTGGGTGCATATTGGGTGTTAGATGTAGTTCCTACTCCCTTATTATGCATTGATCATGTTTGAGATGGAGTTGAAGTTGCTTCCTTTGAATAGTGCATGTTGTGAATAATGCATTTGTAAATTTTGCATATTTTGATGTTTCATGCATGATGGGCTGATAGTCTTGAGTCTTTAAATCTGTAAAGTGTCTAGGTCATCATTCGAGGATGAATATTCCCAAGGGAGAGATAATGTAACATTCCGGAAAATTTTAAACTAAACTAGAGTCTAACACAAAACTAATAGGCTTAGCTAAAGCTTGACGTTAGGGTTAAAGCCTAGTAAATACCTCCCCGTACCTTAAAATTCATCCTTTCGGGCTAGAACGTCAAGGTCTAAACCCCAAGGACCAACCATCGATCCTTGAGGAAAAGGCCCTAAAAAGTGACCTAGGCAGTGACCCACGAGGGCAACTACGGCGCGTAGGTCCACCCACGCCCCGTAGGTGGGGATCGTGAGTCAAGCCCCAGACCATGGACCTACGAACCTGCAAAATGGTCAGTAGGTACATTCACGGACCGTAGGTCCTAGGTTCGTAGGTGGCACCTGTAATCTGCCTAGTTTCGTCCTATGGAGGGGTGTTTAGGTAAATTCCTAATTAAGTTAGTTTAATGTAGGGTCATTTTATATGATTTTTAATAGACATATATTAGACTTTTAAGTCATTAACTAACTACAAAGACTTCATAAAAATCTCAACAACCCAAATCAAAATATAACCTCTCCAAAATCTTCTCTCTAAACACTCCATTGAAGAAGAAGAAGAAGAAGAAGAAGGAAAAAAAAAAAAAAGAGGAAGAAGATCAAGTTAGGGCTTCAAGAAGGGGGATTTCTCACCCAAATTTGTTGGATTTCTACACCTAAGGTATGGTAGTCTTTCATTCATGGAATGCTTTCTTCGATGGAGTCTTTAAACTACCAATTTCAAAGTAAACAATTCGCTAGAACCTAGGATTTTCATTCCAAGTCATGGATTCTTTATAAAAACATTTTCAATGATTTATTTAACATATATTATGATTTAATTGTTGTTTTATGTTTGTTTTATGATAAAATCTCCCATGAATTCATGAAATCCCCATAACCCTACTTTATGACTTTGTGATGGGGTGAATTGTAGTTAGACCAATTGTATGGGATTGTATCTACTGTAATTTAGTTCTTTTGATCATATTATTATCCATGTTGAATGTAGTAACCCTAAATTGATTGCAAGAGTGTAACCTTGATCCAAGAAGGGTAAAACATGGGAATTTTGCCAAATTGTGAGCTTTATGTATGCATGCTTTATGAACATGATTATAATCTAGTTATTGTGTTAATTGAAAGTTCATTCTCATAAACACATAATGATCATGATGTGAAAGTTCTTCTCACTATATGATGATTCTAAGGTTGAAAGTCCATTCTCACCTATTGAATCGATGAGCTATTTTGTGAATTGTGTTGGATTGAGGGTTTAGACACTCATTCATGCTAGTAAATGCAATCCAAAGACTAAACATAAAATTGTGGGAAGTAATACTTAGCACTGAGTGGATATTGAATATGAGATAGAGGCATTCCCATTAAGAAATGTTGGGTTTCTAAAATTAATCTCATGAGATGGAATCTCCTCCGTTAAATAAGGTTGGGTTTGTAATAACAATCTTTGTATCCCTTAACTATGTGCCCTCATAGGTCTTTAGCTAGTGGATCCACCTAAAAGCTAATACATTTAGTTCTACCTTAGGAGAGTAGGACACCTCTTTTCGGTGTGGGGCATGACACCGGATTCCATGTTAGGCTCACATGGTCTATGTTGGTTAAGGCTTATTCCCAATGTAATTAAACGATGAATTATTAACTATGGTTGCTCAAGGAGGTTTACTTAGCATGGGTAGGATTAAGAGATCTTACTTATACATGGCACAAGTAGACGTTGGGGTATTCATGGTGGGTTTCTATTATGATATGGTGACTTATATACTGAATATGCTCACGAATTATGCTTTCACTCCACTTTTCATGATGATTCTCAAACTTGATAAAGTGCATGCTCTCCAACTAAACTGTCCCTTTTTATCATATTTTCATTGTTTTGTGCATGGCTATCATACTTAGTGCAATCTTTGTAGGTTCCGACATTATTTCTTCTTGTGCAAAGCTTGGATTGACTATTCTCTAGAGCTTGTGGTGAGTCCTCATGGATTTGAGGACGAGTGATGTTTTGTTGTTCCTTTCATTTCTTTGTATTTCATGTCGGATTTCTATTGTCAGGGCTATGACCCTATTTTGAGACTTCGATTGTAATAGATGGCTAAGTGAGACAATGTCTAGACTTCCGCTTTGCTTTTATGAAAGCTTTTTAGGACTTGTGAAAATGTCTTTTACACTTTATTGTTCTTTACTTATGTGATGATGATTCTAAGTAGCTTACATGGTGCCTTGAGGGGCATTGTGTGCCTTGTTAAATCTAGGGGGTACCCTTGGATCGTGACAATATCCCTCACCCTAACTAGATGGTAAAAGCAACCCTTATAAATCATCTTTCTAGCTTTAAGATAAGAAACAAACTGACTCTTAGGCATAAAATTTCCCCTCTTCCACTCTAGGATAGGCTCATTTGGGAATTAAAACTTGACTATATGGGTTCTATAATTGATAGAAGCATAATATCAGTGCAGCCAATCCATACCAAGAATCAAATCAAAGACTAAGATATCTAGCTCTACCAAATCAACAAGAGTAACTCTATGGGACAAGGAAACAAGACACTTTCATAGACCCTCTTAGCCATAATAGAATCACCAAGTAGAGTAGAGACAGAAAAGAGACCTAACAACGCATCCGGAAGAACATCAAACCTCATAGCTACATATGGTGTCACAAAAGACAAGGTAACACTGGGATCAAGTAAAGCATATACATCAAGTTGGAAAACTTTCAACATACCGGTAACCACATCAGGAGAACTCTCTTGTTCACCTCGAGTCTGAAGTGCATAGATACGGTTTTGCTTAGGAGCATTGGAACCCGCACCACTAGCAGTAGCTTCCTTGCCCTCTCTTTCTTTAGCCATAAGCATTGGGAAATCCCTCATTTTGTGACCACTCTTACCACAACCAAAGCAACCATTTGTGTCGGCTAGGCAATTACCCTCGTGCTTCTTTCCACACTTAGTGCAACTAAACCTAGGCAATGAATATCCACTACCATTACCTCCATGAGGCTTAGGGTTAGACACCCTATCTTGGTT